GCTCTCTTCTGCCCTACTCTTATTTTTGCAGCATACTTTCACTTTATGTATCAAACTATGCGTCTGTTCACAATTTTACTTACAAATCCGTTTGCTGTTCTTGTCGATGTTGATTCCAGCTTTGAATTGCAATGTCTGTTCTATTGAATCGACATCCAGAAACAATCACTATACAGACGCGATGAACTTTTCTTTTTTCTTTAATCAAATGTAATATTTTGCAGTCAGAAATAGTTGACGCATTGCTCACGGCAGTCTTTTTCATGTGCTTGGATGTCATTAGGCACTTTTCTTCCATTAAAAAAGGTCTTTATATCCATATACAATATGACTGACGCTTCATGTCTTCGTTATTACATTCAATTAAACGGCTTCCATTATCCTTGAGATCAGCTTCATCATCAACGCAGCTTTTTTTTAAAAAGAACATCTTGCACTCAATCCAGGTGACGCAGAGCATTTTTGTTGTTGTGGGTGAAATAAAATGTTTCTTCGCTATTGAAGTCGGTCAGCGTTGCTTAGTAAAACATGTTCATTGAATGCAAGGAACGAATGGTTACTCGTAGAGCACTCATGCACTCAAGTTGTCAAACGTTTATTCTATACAGTGCTCTACCATGCACCTGAAAACATAATAGGTTGCTTTTTTTTGCGCGCATGCATTGTCATGGCTTCTGTGGTGGCAATGGCGCATTTTGCAACACGTTATTTTTTTTCAATGTGTCAGATTCTACCATCATTTACCATTTACAAATTGTGTTTACCATCATCAAAGAAGTGTCGCCTAGTGATGAAACGACACTAAAAATACTAGAATTTTGATTGGAGACTGATTCACGTGTCAAGATACTATGTTTTGCAGAGGCAACTTCTTCCTTTCTCAATTTATTTGACACCTTACAACTTCCATATGAACGTAAGAAAAATACGGGTTATTGAAATTGATATGATTTTCGTTCCATTGAAAATAAAAAGTAATGCAATTTACCATAGTGACATTAATATTTGATCGTCGTTGTATAATCAATTGACCTATTGCTTAGAACTGTCTGATCAGATAGAAATAAACCGAATCTAAATGGGGCAGCAAAACGTCCTTATCCGCCGTCATCCTTTTGGTCAGCTCTTCGTGCTAAACAAAATGTCCTGATGATTTCTTTTTTTGAAAAGAAAGGAAGGAATGAGTGAATGAATCTACGACTATAGTCGAAACAGTAGTGAGGTTAAGGAAGTTTAAAAGTGGCTTTTTAGTTTCGCGATTTTTTATATGATTGAACAGCGTATGTTCGAAGTTTAACAAATTCAGAAATAACGTTCAATCATCCGCACCTGCTCCTGAACGTAACGAACATGAAAAAACTTGCTATGAGAGTGTCAATAGTTCATCTCCTTCTTTGATTGCATCTAAATCATCTTGTGTTTTACCACCAAGATGGTCAAGATAGGTCTCTAATTCATTTTGTCGTTTCAATACTGTTTCTTCAAATGTCTTTTTCCGTTTGTCTGCCAAAGCTTGCACCTTCGTCTGGGCTTTCTCTGTGTCATTTAGCAGCTTCTGCACGGCTTCATTCCGCTCCTGATCCGTCTGCATTCCAAGCATCATTGCCAATCCACTCAGTTTGTCCATCATGAATTCATTCGAGATATCAACGTAAGTACGAGACATTGCATAAAGAATATAGCTTTGCCGATGAATATTGACTGTTTGTCCTTTGAGTAAACCAATGTAGAACGTTCGTTCGGATTGTGTAATATCACTCAACGACGATACTTCTTTCATACGATCAACAAAGGGTACTAGCGTTTCATTTACAGCGAACCGAGTACGAATAGATATTTCGGAGAAAAATCGAACTAGACGTCCCCATTGAACTCGAATGTTGCCCAGCAGTAAGATGCCTTGACGTAAAAGCTCAATAATCTGTTCATAGTTGATCTTCGTCAAATCAAGTCGTGCGATTTTAACCATCAGTTCCTTCATTTTATCCTGCTGTTCAAGCCATTGTTGAAAAATGTCATCCGAACGTTGTATAGCTTTTTGAAGACGGTCCAGTGTTATAGTGACTTTGAATTTTTCATTATCATAATTGCCAGAATTCGAATTTGACGAGGACTGTGGCCGTTGCGCTGTGTCTTGAGCATCAATTTTGGTGGAATCTATTGATTTTGCAGCTACTAACGGTTTTAGTTGCTCAATCAGACTCGTTAGCTGACTTATAATTTTGTCAGCATCTTTCAGATTTGTTACATCTATGGCTGATTGTAAGATGTTACCAACTGTCTTTGTTAATTCACTGTCGCCTTTGACAGTTTTTAGCAAATTGTTCATTGCATTGAAAGCGACTCTATAGGAAGCAAAATCTTTTGTCAGCATTTGTGCACTTGCGTTGACATTTTCTGTGACACTGTTCAACAATGCGTTCAGCTGATCTGATAACATCTTTGCAACCGACAGCGATTGACTTAAAATAATCTTGTCACCTAAACCTGCGGCTATGTCACTTATTCCAATACTGCCATTGCCTCCACCACCGCTTCCACCACGGGTTGCAGCAACGCCAGCGCCGACGCCTGCACCAACTGGTCCTCCCACCAATGCGCCTACAATCACTGGCGCAACATCATCGATTACATCAGTAACGGCTTGTACAAAATTCTGTAGGATTTTATCCCATCCAGTTGGCAGGTCTTTCAAGGCTTGTGCGTACGCAGCCTGTGCCGTTCGAACAGCTTCCTGTGCTTCGTCGTAGTGTTTTTGAACGGTGTGGATAATTTGTTCTTGATATTGTTCCGCTGTACGAGAGACATTGAGTTCAATTTCAACTTCTTTTACTCGTTGCATGTGAACACCTTGCGTTACAACTGTAATTTCAATGACTTCACCCAAAAGTTGCATGACGTTGACAAATGAATCGTGCGTGTTAGAGGCTAGCCTAGAACATTCTTTTCCGATTCCGTCGATGCTGTTTAACGATGGTACTAAGAGATTTTTTATAAGTCTTGGTGAAGCTTGCATTAATATCTGAAACGATGTTTTCACATGTCCTGGAATCTGTGCCATGTACAGCTGAATTGTGTTCATTGAACTGTGTGCCTGGTTAAATGCTTCCCATCCGTCATTCGCAATTTGAATCAGAGTACCACGATACGATTGTGGATTGCGAATGTATTTGAACTTGTAGTCACCGACACTTTCTTTTAAAGAGAAATCGATTTTAGTTGAGAGAACAATGAGTTGGCCCAGAACGTTGATAGCAACCGGTCCAGCTGAGATAAGTTGCTGCCATGGATAGTCTATATCAGTTTGACTTAGGACTTGTTCATCCGTTTCCTGTTGAAATAGACTGCTGACATTTGTTGTTTGATTGGCTGAAACAAACAATAAGGAATTAAAACTTATCTCAGGGGTACGCTAGCACTTGTTCCTTACATGTTGTACGACGTTGTCTGCTGTGTACTTCTACGACGAACGAACCGTAAAATGGATTATGTGTAGAATCAGGTGGGAGGAAAACCCTTTTTGATAGCAGATAAGGTTGCTGTATGTCGGCGACGATTGTTCGTGATGTAAAAATATGTAGCCGCAGGCTGAATAGGGTAAGTATGGATGTAAAGCCTGGAAAATGTGAAGAGATGAAAAATTATTTATATTAAAAGTGTAGAGCGTAAGGAAACTCACCTCTGATAGATAACAAATTCATTGTATATTTTACTGATCTGAAAAGAAAAAGAAGAGCATGATCAGTCATAACCACTAATTCTTTGTGATACTGGAAGAAAAGTACTGCAAGAAAGTACTGGAAGTGCTTTATTTATATCGTAGACAAAAAAGTTGTAAGGGTTTTGTAGTAAAATATGTTTTAAAAAAAGTAAGAATCAATAACATTGGAATTTCTTGAATAAATAGTGTTCATCTCATCAGATCTCTTTATTTCTTTGAATCGCAGCTGATAGTACGGACCAGCGTATTAAATGGTATATGTAGAAAGACGGTGGCTAATTCGTCCAAACTCTGTTTTACCTGAATCAGTGTAGCATTGCTGATAAAATCAACTGGCCTACTTATCAACACATTGCCTCGTGTTAATTCATCGTAAATTGCGTTCAGTGGAATAATCAGAGATTTGAAGTCAATCAGATTCTTTATCGTGGTGTACAGAACTGACGATGCATCCCAGATTTTTGTAATATGACCGATAATCTTTTTTAACTCGTAGTTGATTGTTGCTGTTGAGTTACTAACTTCTCGAAGCGTTATCAAAGCTGATTGTAATTCTTGTAATTGTGTTTGCAACTGGCTCAGCTGTGTGTCTAAACTGGATTTCTGACCTTGCAACGATGACAGCTGTTGACGAACGCTGTCAACTTGCTGTTGTGCACTTTGAACTTGTTGTTCCGCATTATGACGTGCATCTTTTCCACGATCGATTCCACCCGGGTTGACGACGCTGCATAATGGTTTCTCCACTAGTACATCAAATACCTGTCTGATCGGGTTGAAGATCGAACCCCAAAAACGTTTCGTCGTCGTTTTCCACCTAAACAATTTCGTGCATCATCAACTTTCTGTTGTGCAATACGAAGATCATTCTCCGCATTGGCTAGTCCTTGTTGTTTGTCTCTTAAACCCTGTTCAGCTGTGGCCAACTGGGACTGAACGCCTTGAATTTCCGTATTTTTTTGCTGGATTTCACCTTGTTTGCGGGAAATTTCATTTTCTTTTGCGCTGACGGCAGTAGCAGCATTGACAAGTTTTTGATCGATTTCGACTCGAAGTGTTTGACTGTCGTTCACAGCTGTATCCAGTGCATCGTAGACACTTTGAATGGCACAAGTTAAATTCGAGACCAGCTGGTTGATAGCTGTTTCATTGTCTGTGCTGACGTTGGTCAAGAGTAAATTCAGAACATCGTTTTGCAGAATGCTGTAAGCTTCTTTGTATGCCGGTACCACCGATTCCGACATTTTTGTTTTATACTATGTCTGCGTAACATTGTCACATTGGATGATAATACCATAGTAAAACAAGAACAGTGCTACTAAGATTACTTCCATTGTGGTGGCCAATACTGTGTGATTATTTCAAACCGATATTCGAAATTAGTTTGATCGCTACGCATTTTATAGGTTTGTAACACAAAGTGTACATCTTACGTAATCATTATGACGTTTTTTTCTCCATTTCAGTTTTTTCCAACATTACTCATATATATTTTGAAATGAGTTATGTGTCTAATCATTCAAAAATAATTTGCTTAGTTCGTGAGTAGAAAGAACAATATTTAATGCTTCACTTGATTCTCTGAGGTCATGGCGGAATTTTATTTCGTTCAATTTTCTTTTTCGGTGCAGAACCAGACATTCGAAATAAAACGTTTATTTACGCAAGTAGGAGTAAACTTGTTAGCACTGTTCTTGTTTTACTATGGTATTATCATCCAATGTGACAATGTTACGCAGACAT